GCATCCTGGGCACTGGGCGGACTGTCAGGGTTCAACCTCCTCATGAAGTCCGGCGCAACAATGTGGCACAGTCCTTTTTCTTTTCTGGAATTATTGTGTATAGTGAACATGACAACAATCACACCTGGAGACACACATACACACACACAGTGTCACACCCACACGACGGAGCGTTGGAGGGAAGAGAGGGCATCTTCCGAAATAGTATTGATAAGACAAGGACAGTCATCAAACATAGTGCTTGCCAATGCAAAACACACAGACGCGCGAGCGAGCGACACACACACAGAGAGAGAGAGAGAGAGAGAGAGAGAGAGAGAGAGAGAGAGAGAGAGAGAGAGAGAGAGAGAGAGAGATCCGTATTTCAAATCTCGAAACAAAACACGTAACCATCATAGTTTTCACCACACACACACACAGACCCACAGAGAACACTAACTCAAAGAAATATGAGAGAGAGAGAGAGAGAGAGAGAGAGAGAGAGAGAGAGAGAGAGAGAGACATATATGTTAAAATAAGTTAGACAAAACGGGTCGCTACAGAGTTCTTAACACACACACACAGACTCACAGAGTCACAGACACACAACCCTGATCAACTTCCTGTCTCCCCTTCATTCTCCCCGAGTGGCTAATCACATATCCATCACCAGCAGTCCTTAAGCAGAGTTCATCCCCTTCTCTCCTTCCTACTCTATGGCCAATCTTCCGCTGCCCTTGGTGTCAACGATCCTTCTCAACGCAAAAGACAAAAGCGTCTCTTGCAGTAGATCCCCTCCTTTCTCTATGTACACACCCTTTTTTTTTTTTGCTTTAGGTCAAAAACTTTCCTTCGGCCCTTTGTTCCGAAAACAAAAAACAAAAAACAAAAAACAAAAAACAAAAAACAAAAAACAAAAAACAAAAAACAAAAAACAAAAAAAACAAAAAAACTCTCCTTATCCACGCTTTGAGACGCTGGGGTCGGTTCTAGCAGATTATTCTTCCCATGATTAGGTTGGAGATAGGTTCCATACGAAAAGAAAACAAAGAGAGTCATGGCTGGCGAAAATGGACAGCCAGGACAGATGTCACAATTCCCCGGGAAGAAATGAAAAAAATCAAAAAAATCAAAATAAATAATAAAGGAGACCCCACACAAAGATATCACGCTTTGTGACCACCCTCACTTTAGTGAGCAGACGAAAGATATAAGTTAATTAAATAAGAGAAAGAAAAAAAAATAGGAAAGGAAGGAAAAGAAGACGTTGCTAAGGACCCCGACAAGTGAAGAGAATGAAAATAATAAAATAAAATAAAATAAAATTAGAGACAGCAAGGACATGTTCACCACTGTAGTCAGCACGATATCGACCCTCACAAACAGATGAGTCCATGCCAAAAGGCGGTAGCAGGTAGACGTATATCTCAGGGGTGATACCCTTGAGATGCTTCCTCCCCAATGTACACAACCCCCGTCCGACCCCCCCCTAAAGAGGGGGAAAAAAGAAAAAGAAATAGGCTCAACACCCTCGTCAACCCCCCCCCCTCTCCTCAAGATGACGATATCAGTCCGGCGCTCAGCGGGGTGCAAAACCACACGAATGTATCATTTAGATACAACTGTCTAGTCCTCGGACTCGGGACAGGACAGGGGGGAGTAGCTAATAGTAGCCTAATACTGAACGAAAATATCCTCGACATTCACAGCGAACATCTCTCTATTGCAGCTGCGTTTTCGTATTTTTATTTTTTCTTTATACTTCTCTTGTTCTAACAATTGAGTGTACGGCTTAGCAAATTAGCATCAACATCAAAACAACAACAACAACAACAAAAAAAAAAAAAAAAAAAAAAAAAAAAAAAAAAAAAAAAAAAAAAAAAAAAACTTTCGCCAGCACCATTATGGGCCTTGCTGCACTACTCTCGACATGCACAACAGACAAAATCATGGCGGTGTTTCTTTCCATATTCTAGCGGAAGATTCACTCTCGTTTTGCACATTTCAAGAGTAGTGCAGCGAGGCGCTATGCGTTTGAACCCGGCGACGAGATCGCTGCTCTGTTTTCACTTTAACAAAACAGAAAAACAACTCCCCCCTCTCCCCCCCCCCCCCCCCCCCTCTCTCTCTCTCTCTCTCTCTCTG